TTGGATGAGGTTTTCTGCCTTTATCACCATTTCAGTCAGTAACTACTACCATCCTAGGATAGGATAAATTACAATCCAACTTCCCTCCAATTCCTCCACCAATTACTTTACTTCTAAATCTCTTGGATATAGGCCCCCCATAACTGAAATAAAAGGGTTCTGTCTACCCACTTTATGTAGGCCCCTCAAAATTTTACACAACTCATCTAAATTTCCCCTCAACATCCATTGTTCCAAAGAAAACAAAGCCACCCCATCCAATCAATCATTCTCACAGCTAAAATTCTCTGTTCCTAGGCAATATTCTTGTAATTTCTTCTGTAGTTTTCAGCCCAATTTGTTACAGGAAGGTCATGTCTGACTAACTTGACGGAATTCTGTGATAAGCGGCAAAATATTTGAGGGCAGTGTGGTAGATGTGATCTACCTGCAACTTAACAAAAGTTTCATATGGCAATTTGGTCAAAAAGTAAATGCCACTCTCTCAAAGGCTAACTGGATACAAAATGGACTTATTGGCAAGAATGTTGTCAATCTTCAGTAAGCACTAAGCACTGATTAAATTCTGACCAAACAGTGCTATTATATTAGCTGTTAACATGACCTGAAACCCTCCTTATAGCTGAAATGCTGAAGCCCTGGAAAGTTAACAGATAACCTTATTATGAAGTGAAAGCATAGTACTGGAGAAATTCAAGAGTCTAACGTGATTCTCTTTCGGAACTGTGGTTTACAATGTATGCAAGGTGCTGGCGTGTGAATATTTTTGAGGAAAATCTCATCTCATTTCGTTCATAATTTATGTATTTTAAACATTTTAGTTGTGTTCTTATTCTCTGCCAGTTTTGAGATTTTTATTCTATCATGTACTTTTCTCATATTCCAATTTTTAAAAAATGCATTTTGTTGAAGATAAAGTGAAATCTAATGGCATAGTTCTGTCTATTAAACCAAGGTATTTGGACTTCTCTTTAAAATGGTAGCAGCCTAAATTATGAACTTAAAATTCTAAAGCAAAAGATAAAGTACTGAGCCTTGCAGAATCCCATTGGTGTAAGCCTCCAGTCACAAAAAACATCAATGCTTAGTGCTTACTGAAGATTGGCAAGCAGGCAAGTGAAATCTCCCAAACTGAGATTTCATTCTTGTAATAAAATGCTGCATACATTTCAAACAAGGTATATGAAAACAGCATTATTTTACCTGTGCAATTTGATCAGGAAAAACGTTATAGGTCATATCTTCACAACATGAGGTTCTCTTATGTTAAAATTTCCAAAAACAATTGTAAAAAAAATTTGCCAAAATGTCTTGGTAATTTTGTTTGTGTTGGTAATTTTAAGATAAACTTACTTTAATTTTTTTGGATCAAGTCCTGGATTTGCCTGCCAGGTCAATGTCTTCATAATAGAAGAGAGAAAAATCATTCAAGAGGCTCAAGCAATGAGGGAAATAGTGTTTGAATTATCCTGGAGTTGCAGTTCCAATTAACCAGTAATGGAGTGACACCTATTTTGGAAAAGCCCTTACACCATTCTGTTCATTTGATTGATGGGGAGAAATAAGCAGTGGTAAGGAGACAATGAGATTTCAATTAGAGAAGTTGTTTTGTTAGTTAAATACAAATAATACTGGAAAATGTGTGACATATTTATATCTTTTAGCAACATTTGCCTTGATTAGTCTTGTGTTATACATTGTGCACTTTTATATTGAACTCATCAAAAGCCAAAGAAAAGTATTTTGTAATGAGCATGAGTTACACACAGAACATCTGCCAACCATAGAAATGCAACTCAAAAAGATAAACAGGAACCTGGTATGCTGCCAAGCAACAGATGTTAAATTGAAAATCAGAACAGATTTTTTATGTCTTATGCAGTTTTGTGGCTCTGTATATATGCTTTATTGTAACACAAAAGTAGTAACTTCTAATTCCACCAGAAAAAAATTGGCAGGAAACATATTTGCAACAGTAGTTGCTAAATGGAAAGAATGCCAACATAAATCTACCTATAATTCCTCTTCCCAATCCTGCATTTATTACTGCAGTCTCACTAGGAGCTACCTTTACAATCTCAAATTAAGTCAAAAGAACAGGAAACCAACATGCAACATTCAAAACAAATTGCGACAAGAATAATGTTACCATCAGTCCCTGGGGAAGGGTATACAATTTACTACGGGATATCCCAAATCGTCAAGCTTCTGGATGAGGAAAGATTAACTGGCTCTCCTCTTACATTGGCGATACTGGCTTACTTATTTGGTCACAATAAGGTTAATTTCAAAAAGGATGACTTCCCTTATGGATTGTAAGAACTGCAGATGCTGGAGTCAGAGATAACACAGCAAGCCAGGCAGCATCAGAGCAGGAACGTTGACGTTTAGGGTCGGGACCATTCTACAGAAAAGACCTGAACCCACTATATTTGTGGTTTTGTGGTATGAGTACTATCAACATCTTAAACTACAAATTAGCTAGTCATTATTGCAGTGCTCTTTTTTGAGCACATATTGGCTGTTGCATTTCCTATATTAAATAATAACTGCTGTTCAAAAACTTTTCTGAAGGCCTTTTCTGAAGAAGGGTCCTGACCCGAAACGTCTACTTTCCTGCTCCTCTGATGCTGCCTGGCCTGCTGTGTTCCTCCAGCTCCACACTATGTTATCACCTCCCTTATGGACACCTTCCTCCCAGACCAAATGAAATTATGTTTTAAAAGCCTATTTAAACAGGCTTTCTTGAGTTGACAGAATGAGTTTATTAGTTACTTAGTGAGGCCCCTAGCTCTCTCTCTTTGCCACCTTTAAAAAAAGTTACCAGTCCCCAGACAATTCATGGAATAACTAGGTGTCTCAACTGGGATTGGGGTGTCTCAACGGATAAAACGTTGAATTTGTCGGATCAAAATTCCCAAGTGGTTAAAAAAAAACAAAGGAAGGGAATGAAAGGTGGGAAGGAGAGTCAGTGGAATAGTAGGTGACATTTTATATGGTGCTTCACAATCCAAAAAGATAACTGTATTTAAACAGAATTAAAGTCCTCATTTTTATGCTTTATTCCCATTTTAAGCTTTATTTCAGTTAGCCACATTCCATAAAAGACTCACTTCATTGATTACTAGCTCTCCATATTTATACAACCAATACAATTAAATTTTAATCAATGTACATCCATCACTTGTTACCTTATTCCATGTGGTTTCAGCTTTCCTTCAGACAATATTAGATGGTGACCCATTGGACATCTCAAAGCACTTTACAACCAATGAAGTTTTTGAACAGTAGTTATTATTTAATATAGGAAATGCAACAGCCAGTATGTGCTCAAAAAAGAGCAATACAATAATGACTAGCTAATTTGTAGTTTGAGATGCTGATAGTACTCACCCACGAAACCACAAAGTACTGGGTTCAAGTCCTACTTCAGGCCTAATGCACAAAGATCAAGGCCTAGACTCCAGTGCAATGCTGAGGGAGAACTGCAATATCAGAGGTGCTGTTTTCAGGTTATACATTACATAAAGATCCCCTGACGGATTTAAACAGTGCATGGCAGTATTTCGAAGTAGAACAGGGAATTAGCCTTGGTGTCCTGGCCAATATTTATCCCTCACCAAAACTACAAAATACAGATCATCTGGTCATTATCACATTGCCTTTTCTGGTACCTTTACCGTGTGTATACTGGCTTCTGTGTTTCCTATGTTACACCAGTGACTACACATCAGAAAGTTATTAAGTAACTGCAAAGTGGCATTGAGAGATCCAGTGGTTATGAGTAGCACTACATATTTGGCCTGCATACCGAGGTTTGAAAGACTTTCATACATATGAAAATTTTAATCCGAGAGCACAATTCTATAAACTGCAAAATTCCATGACTAGGTGGACTAATATAGAGTTAATGGTGTCAAAGGAAAGGTAACTGAAATAACATTTCCATAAATAGCAATTGTATCGTGTACCTTTATGGCACTATTATCATCCACATCATCTACATAAAAGACAGGGTAAAATATATTTGTGAATTGCTTTCAGTTCGTTAGAAGGAAATGTTTTTGTGCTTTGAAGAATAAAGAATCTACAAACGCAGTGTTTTTGTCTCCAGCTACTATAAACGTCTTTAAACATTTTGTTGCTATGCTCTAGCTACAAATAGAAAGTTTAAATTCCTTTTTAAATGTTATCAGTCTCCATAAAAGTTGCAAGAGTTATGGAACTTTTACAGCATCGAGAAAGGCCTTACAGCCCATCATGTCCATGCCAGTCATCAAGCAAAATTCAACAGAATGCATATTTAAGTACTGTAGATATTGCAATCAACCTGTTCTGACATACAACATGACATGGCTGGGGCAGCGGGGTCTTGAATGTGTGCTTTCCTTCTCAGACGTAGAGGTATTACTACCATGTCACAAGAGCCACAAAGAAACAAAATCAAGACTTCCGTGAAGTATTGAAAAGGAATGGGTGCTCATGTAATTTGAGGTCAATAGCTTCCTCCTGATTGGAGATAGCAGGGAACAGAAAGAAAATTAGTCAAAGAAAGAAGAAAGTCACTACATCATATAGTGACAGTTTCTCAATAGGTACAATTTTAGCGAAAATACAACGTGAGCTGTCAGATGTTGTCTACACTTCATTTTAGCAAATAATAGCCTTCTTTCAAGACTGAAGGAGTCTGACCATTAAATAGAATAGTCACTTCCAGGACCAAGAAACAAAATGCTGGAAGCAATCAGCACAAACAGTAAGAGAGAAATTAGAAAAGGTTATTGAGCTCAAATATGTACTGTTCCTGCCTCCACAAATGCTGTCTGACCTGAACAGTCCCAACATTCTCTGTTTTTATTTTATTTTTTTTAAATTGAGTTCCAGCCATCACTGGAAACACTATTTAATGCAATGAATCTGATCATCCTTGGTATTAAACATTTAACCTCTTCCATCCAGTCCTGATGAAAAATGTTAGATTTTTAAAAATGTCACATTACCTTAAGGGCATTAATGTCCTCTATCTTTACAACAAATTCATCTCGCTCCCTGTACATGCCCTCTCCTCCACTTTCTATATCATCTTCATCTGTTGAACCTTCTACAGCAAGTAATTCTTGTTTGGCAGCTCGTTCTGTAGGATTCAGGTCATCTTGATCATTTGGCTTGGGAGATTCTACAGCTACAGTTGGCTCCTGTACTTCCTCTTTTAAAGGGGAAGAAGGATTTGCAACATTTTCCTGCTGTATAACAGCAGAAATAGAAGGGTTGGAATCCTTCTCTCCATTAGTGATGAACTCTAGTAAAGGAAATATGTAATGAATACAGATAAAAGTCAAAACTGTAAACATATGTATCCTTCTTGACGGTATACAATTTTATCAAAAACACAATTTTGATCTTTGTGAACTCAGTCATAAAAATCTGACTAGAACAAATAACTATGGTGTTATAATTTGGCATTAATTTGTAGGCATTCACATTTTTCACGCTCACCAGTAGTTAGTTACTACAGATGAATACAAATAGGAGATTATACAACCTAGCAATTAAAATAATTATACAGCATACAACATAATGTTACCACTTTCCCTTTAAAATAGCATAAAATTCAAGACCATGGAACTTTTAACAATGGCTAGTGTGAAACTGGCAAAGAAACGAAAAAGGTTTCTATTTTATCTCAAGAACAACAAATTTTAAAAGAAATGCACAGAGATATTCTTTTTTAAGAAGTGTTTGACATGAAATCATTAATATTAAAATGGTATTAGGATGTGAGGTGAACCTGGGCTAAGAATATGGAGCCAATGAAGAATTTGAAGGTATATTGTCATCCCTCTGTGGTGCAAAACTCCAATTCTATTCCATAAGAACCGGGGCGGTGGGGGGGAGCAGAAATAAAGTCGGCCACATATTAAATTGGCATTTGTAACACATCTGCATATATTGTTAAATTTGTTCATTTGTTGTACATCAGAAGGTATTTTCATGTGCCCTCTGTAATTGTGAAAGACGGTTTGGGTCAAAGCAACTAAGAAAATATTAAAAGGGAGTCCAGTCATATATAGTCCTTCACAGTTCTTTTTCAATTAATACCAAATAAAATACAAATCTGCCTGCCCAATACTTTGTAAACATAAATATTGCTTTCATTTTCAAAAATAACTTCGAATATGCAATTCTTGAAAGCTTCCACCATATTTAAACTATGCTTCACTCGAGCAAAATATACAGTTTATGCAAGAGAATGACTGCAGCTGTTTGACTGGATCACAATAGCAAGTTTCACATTTCACAGACAGCAGATCCTTAAAGCAATATGTTGACAAATTTATGAGGCATAGTTTACTTAAAGCATGTACTGTCCTTACCGTTTGTGTTCAATTTTTCTTTTTTATTAGAAGGATCATCCAAAACAGAAAGTGCTGAGGAAATACTCTTCTGAAGATCCTGGTTCCTCCCAACAGAATCTTCCTCATCTGAGGAAAATGCAGGTAACGTTTCCAAGTTTTTCTTCAGGTCCGCATCTATCTTTTTGCAAGGACTAGCAGAATTACTTTCAGTAGATATTAAGGCAGTTGGCATTGACTGGTGTGTGGAAACTTGCAGAAGGGGAGTATGAATGGTATTGGCAGATGGACGTCGATTGCGATGTGCCATGCGTATAGAAGGTGCAGGAAACTGCTGCTTAGGTCCCGATTTAAGAAAGTCTAAAAAGGAAGCAATGAAACCACTTTTCACTTCTGGTTGCTTTTCCTCAACTTCTCTAATCTTTTGATTTATCCTTTCTTGCTGGTAGTAACATTCATAGTAACTATCATTTGATGTATGAGGTGAGTTTGCATCTTTGGAATTCAGGCGTTTACATAGCCCACTTCGTTTTACTGGTTTCTGGCTACAAAGTTCATCATCTAAAGTTTCTTTTGATCGTACTTTTGTTCTTTGTTTCTTCTGATTTCCATCTAGAGCCAAATCTAGATTCCCTCCTTCAGGCAAACTGTGAGACCATCCATCTACTTGTACTCCCACTTTCAATTTAGGCTTTGCTGGTCTCTTTAATTTTCGTTTGTTACCAGATCCTTGCGTAACTTCATCACCCACACTGTAATCAATATCTGACACAGCACTTTCATCTGTGTTACTTCTACCACTAGGAATGAAGTCTGGATCCTTAGCATTATTTATGGCACCATCATCAGGAATGTCATCATTATCCTCTTCTTCAGATTCTGGATTAGCACCTAATTGTTTCTTATGACCTTCAATATTCTGATCACTGGAATCTGGAATAGAATTCATACTTGTTGCAGAAAGCCTAGCCTGTATGTGCTGGTCTGAAGTTCCAAGGGTTTGTTGATCAAGGCTTGAAGTTTTAGACTGAGCTGAACTATCTAATGGTACTGCCTCTAGATCCAAATTAATTTGACTATTGCTTAATGTCAAATTATGCAAATTCTGTTGGTCTGGCAGTATAGTTTGTGAAGTGTGAAAATTTGGTGAAACATGCCTTACAGTTGCAGCCTGAAATGTAGATTTTGAACCATCAGCACATTCGACTGACTGAATGCTGGATTCATTGCAAGCAGACTTAGCAAATTCTTCATTGGCAGAAAACACATCTTCAACACCAGAGAAGAGATTTCTCTCAACACCAAGCAACATAGATTCTGAAAAACAAACAGAACTAAGGCCAACAAACTGAGATTTTGAACCTTGTCTGTGTGATGGGTCAAAATGATCTTTTGTTGTTAACTGTAGTGGTTTTGAAGGTTCAGTACCATTTAGCTTCATTGCTTCAGAGTTCTGTTGGAGGAGCTGTTGAGATTGTGGTGTACTGGCTTGGGCAATATGTCTCTCAAGTTGAAGAAACTGCGATTGATGATGTGATGCCCGAGACTGAGCCTGTATTTGCTGTGACTGTACTGATGCTTGGGATTGACCTAGGCCTGACTGTAGTAACTGGGGTTGCTGTGCTCCTGATGGCTGTATTAAAGACAATGGCATTTCACGTGACGTATCTAGGAGTACCTGTGCACCAGAAAGCTGTAACCGTGGAGTCTGACATACAGTGTGTGTTTGCAAATGTTGAGAAGAATTAATTACTTGTGCTTGATGAGCTTGTGGTCCAGCCTCTTGTGCTTTATGTAAAAGAGAATGAGGCTGCTTCAATTCTTCAGAACTCATAATAATATGCGACGACTGTGCTGAATTAGCTATCTTTTTCATGTCATGTGTTTTCATATTGTTGTTACTGCCAACTGACTGACCATGATGAGTTACCATTGCTTCAATGGGTTGGGTCACATTAAATTGCTTTAAGTGTTCATGCTTTCTTTCATCTGTCTTTGATCCCTGAAGAGTGAGACCAACAACTTGGTCTTCTAGGCGAGAATTACTTCTGATGACACTCTGAGATAGATATCGGTCATCTGCTTTTGAGACAGCATAAACAGCATTCTCCTCACCAATTCCACTTTCTGTTAAACCTGGACTAGATGCCTCAAGAGAAGGCTGCTGCTGTAACAAATCTTGAATAGGGAAACTTTCATCACCTTCCTTAGATGGGACAAACAATTCTGAATCAGACTTCCTCTTAATGTAAGACTGCTTTCTGTCTGTGGATGATTGAGTGCTCTTCATGGTCTGTGAATGAGACGATGAAGTGTAAGTAGGTGAATGTACTCCTGACAAGAACTTCTGAGACTGGGGTGAATGAACACTTTGTGGTTGACTGGTTGGCGAAGAATGCATAGAGATAAAGTTCTGAGTAGGACTTGAAGAAGATAAATTCTGAGCTCGAGTAGATGAAGAAAACGGTAATGATTGGGTTTGTGATGTCAAAGCGAGAGATTGTCCAGAAGTATAATTTTGCGAAAGACTAACAGTGGATAAGCCCTGTGACTGTGCAGAATAGCTGCTTTGTGATTGACTCACAGCAGGTAAACCCTGAGAATGACCAGAAGGATAGTTGTGTGCCTGGCTAATAGAAGACAAATTTTGTGGTTGACCAGAATAGTTATCAGTGAGGCTAACTGAAGGCAATACCTGTGGCTGGTCAGAAGAGTAACTGAGTGCTTGACTAACAGATGTTAGGTTTTGTGACTGGCTAGAATAAGAAGCTGGCGACTTGCTTAAAGTAGAGAGCTTCTCAGACTGACTGGAAGAATACACCTCTGAGTGACTGACAGCTGGCAGGCTCTGAGACTGTGTTGAAGTATAGTTCTGGGACTGACTAATTGACATTATTAGATTGGACGCTTGTCCTGAAGAGTACACTTGTGACTGGCTTGATATTACTGAACTTTGCTTTTGTGTAGGTGCGGAGTAACTCTGTGTTTGCCCGGTAGCTGTTGCACTTTGAGATTTTGCACTTTTCGTAGAACGCTGAGCCGATCTTGATGAACAGGTTTTAGTCTTTGAAGAATAATCAAGAGACTGAACAGTGGACGAATAGTTCTGTGACTGTTCAACCGTTACTGCAGAGTTCTTCTGCTGTGTTCCACCATTGCTCACCTGAGACTGGTCTCCAAGTGGACTACATGTCAAACCTGCATGCCGTGAAGTTCCCTGAAAATCAACTTCATTCCCACTAGTAAGATAGCCTTGTAAGGAATGGTGAGAACTTGGTAATTGCACCTGTACTGAATGAGAGCTGGAAGGCCGCTGGTGATGCTTAATAACGCTACATTCTCTTTGAAGTGCCCTTTCAATGGAGGCAGTTGAACTAGAAAAAACTGATGTGCCATATGCTTGAGAAGCTTGTTGTGTTGGTCCAAGTGCTGAAGACAACAAACTAAATTGCGGTTGTAGGTGATGAGGAGCAGATTCTTGAGCAGAGCGGTATGTTGAAGATGGGGGTATGCTTGTACTTAAAACAGTACTACCAATTCTGTCAAAAGTCAATGCGGAAGGAACAACGGCTTGAGAAGACTTGATTTGAAGCAAGGGATCATGAGGAGATAGAAGTCCATTTGTCGTAGGACTGAAAGGTGCATCTTGTAGTGTCAAGGGCTGTGCACCAGTAAAACTTCGACTACTAAAGGAAGAAGGATGCTGATACGCTGCAAGAGCTGATGGTGGGAATGTTCCAGAAGCTTGTAGTGCTCCAGTGACGAACAGCTCTGAAGGTGTTGAAGAGTGCATACCTTGACAATTAAAAAAAAAAATTAATAGTTCAAACATATAATCAAACAAGTATCTGCTAATTTTAATAAACCAAAATTATCACACATTGAGACAACGGAAATTATAAAGCAGTTTGATTGATATTTGCCATGCATACATGCTGGATCAAGTACCACTCCAAAATTTGAATTTCAACCCCATTTTAATACCTTTGTATAACTTTTCAGACTCTAGATAATCCTATTAAATTATCATTTCCCAGCATTAACTGGTTTAAGCATCCAGTTACTGTTAAACAAGTAGTTCAATTCTATTAAAGGTCAGGAGTAGCTTTATCATTGTAATTTTAATACGGAGTAACAAAGTAAACATGGTTGTGCACATTATCTCTATTGCTCCCATACAAACACTTCACAGATCTTTCTTTTCAAAAAGAATGCTGTCAAATTTAATTTGGCCCTTGTGAAGAAAAAGCAGAGTTAATGTTTCAAGTTCAGTGACCCTCCTTTTTCTTCTTCTGAGTTCTGAAGAAGGGTCACTGGACCTGAAATGTTAACTCTGCTTTTTCTTCACATGCTGCCAAACCTGCGGAGTTTGTCCAGCAATTTCTATTTCTGTTCCAGTATCCATGTTTCTTCATTTTTTTAAAGCTTGATCCTTTCTATATCTTATTTCGGTTTTTTAAAAAAAACCTTTTACCCTCTTGAATGTTTTATCTCAGTTGCAAATGTAGGTTGAAAAAAGCCAACTCCAAAAGATTTCTTGAATGTATGGAAGTCAGAGGTTGCATCTATATACAGTTAGAAATCAAAACAAGGTGTGCTGTTGAATAAGTAATGACATCTATGGCATGCCAACGGTTCAATGAAAATTAATATTCAAATAGATTAATAAGGGAAACCAAGGTTTTGAAAATATTAACATTGCCAATTAAGTATTTTGAGAGTATTTGTAGATTAAAACATCACCTTGCGCAGAGTAATGGTATAGATTTAATATTCCAGTTCAACATTAAACACAGGTTTTAATTAATCACTTGCTTATCTCCCATTTAAAAGTTTTCACAAGACTTCTGCTACGCTTTGAAAACAAATATGTTATGAATATGCTTCCCATACTGCCTTACTACTTTTACAGTTGGTCTTGCAAACAAATTCAAGACAACACTTACTGGAATGGAGTTTGTTCACATATTACAATACTGTAATTTGTTCATTTTTACCACTTGGAGATAAGACTTGGAAATATATCACTGTTCCATCTTTTTTCTTATTTGTTCACTTGCAGGATGTAGACATCACTGGCTGGCTGGCATTTATTGCCTGTACCTAGCTGTCCTTGAGAAGGTGGTGGTGAGCTGCTGTCTTGAACTACTGCAGTCCAAATGCTGTAGATTGAGCCACAATACCCTTAGGGAGTAAATTCCAGGATTTCGACCCAGCAAAAAAGTGAAGGAACAGCAACATATTTCCAACTCAGGATGGTGAATGACTTGGAGGGGAACTTGCAGGTGGTGGTGTTCCCATGTACCTGTTGCCCTTGTCCTTCTAGACGGAAGTGGTCATGGGTTTGGAAGGAGCTTTTCTAAAAGATCCTTGGTGAATTTCTGCAGTGCATCTTGCAGATAGCACACACTGCTGCTACTAAGCATTGGTGGAGGAGACTGGACGTTTATGGATAAAGTGCCAATCAAACAGACTGCTTTGTCCTGGAAGGTGTCAAGCTTCTTGAGTGTTGTTGGAGCTGTACTCATCTAAGCAAGTGGGGAGTATTCCATCACACTCCTGACTTGTGCCCTCTAGATTGTGAACTGCTTTGGGCAGTCAGGTGGTTGCCTGCTGCAGTGTTCCTAGCCTCTGATGTGCTTTTGTAGACATTTGTGTTTATACAGTGAGTTCAGTGGAATTTTTGGTTAATGGTAACCTCAAGGATGTTGACACAGGAGGATTCAGTGTTGGTAACACCACTGAATGTCAAGGGCCGGTGGTTAGATTCCCTCTTGTTGGAGATGGTCATTACCTGGCTTTTGCGTGGTGTGAATATTATTTCCCAATTGTCTGCCCAAGTCTGGACATTGTCCAGGTAATGTTACATTTGAACATGGACTGCTTCAGTATCTGAGGAGTGGCAACTGGTGCTGAATATTGTACAATCATTGGCGAACATCCCCACTTTTGACCTTATGATGGAGGGAAGGTCATTGATGAAGCAGCTGAAGACGGTTGGGCCGAGGACACAAACCTGAGGAACTCCTGCAGAGATGGGATGTGCCAAGATGACTGACCTCCAACAATCACAACCATCTTCTTATTTGCCAGGTATGATCCCAACTACAGAGTTTGCCCCCGATACCCATTGATTCCAGTTTTGTTAGGACCCCTTGGTGCCACACTCAGTCGAATGCGGCGTTGTTGTCAAGGGCTGTCACTCTCACCTCACCTCTAGAATTCAGCTCTTTTCTCTAAGTTTGAACCAAGGTTATAATGAGGTCAGGGGCTGAATGGCCTTGGTGTAATCCAAACTGGACATCGTTGAGCGGGTGATTGCTGAACCAGTCCTGCTTGACAACACTACTGATAACACCTTCTATCACTTTATGGATGATCAGCAGTAGACTGAGGGGCAGTAATTGGCACAGTTGGATTTGTCCTGCTTTGCGTGTAGTGGACACACCTGGGCAATTTTCCGCATTGTTGGGTTGATGCCAGTCGGTCAAAATCCAAAACACCTGACCTTATAACACTGGGACACTTGTAACCTAACTCACAGAACACATACAACCAAAATTATTGAAGGTTTCTATTTGGAGTCGTTTTTGTGCTTGTATGTAAAGCAACATATATAATCATAACAAAAGTTTTCATTTTCTAGCCTTGGAATGCAAGTGAAGACACAGCACCCACAACTAGTAAGCAACCTGTTGACTGGAAATGGGAAGTGAACTTCACATAGCACCTAATTATTATTCTGTTGGTTTCAAGTATCTGCTTGTACACAGCAGAATTTACAATCAAATACACCATGTTGCTTAACATACTACACCAAGTAGTTGCAACTGCTGCTGGTGAGGGAATGTAACCTATCCAATGCTTGGTATATAAAACTGTCACTAATAGATCAGAGTAAGCTGCTTCTAAGCAGTAATGCAGAACTAGTTACAGTGTATAGTGTTGTAGTGCACTAAGCAGTGAACAATTGCATCAGCTAAGAAAAATGTGTTTTATTGACAGCTGTGGATTGCATTTGAAATGCTGACAGCTGACCAGTTAATGGATTCAGGATGAAGGTGCAAGTAAAATTTAACAAAAAATTTCACTCACTATTATTTACTGCTGTACACAAGCAGCACCAAGAGTCAGCAACAACAGTTCCAAAATAATGGTCCTGATAACCACAACTGGAGACGTGTACATTGAGGATCCAAACCTTATTCAAAGAGGCAGCCTTTGAGTAGGAGAAACAGATATGGAAGTTTAGAAAGAGAATTCCTGAACAGTAGGGAAGCACAAGAGGTCAGAATTGGAAAAGCACAGAGATCTAGGGAAGGATGCAGTGACGTGACGTTTTTAAAGCAAGATCAGAATTTTATAATTACGGTGCTTCCACACTGAGAACTGATGTAGGCAGCAAGCAAAGGGTTAAACAAACTGAAAATGCTGGAGAAACTCCGTGAGTCTGGAAGCATCTGTGGAAAGAGAAAGAGTTAACTCCGAATCCAATATGACACTTCTTCAGCTCGGAGGGGTTAGGACAGGACTTGGTGCAATTTACAATACAAATAAGTGAAGTTGTAGATGATCTCTAATTTAAAGGTTGGAGGCTAGACATCAGTGTATTTGAATTTTAGATTTTACAGACAACAGAGGGATAAGGGAGGATTTCAAGGCTGAATTTTGTTTTGAAACTTTTAATCTTAACCCTATGTACACAATGTCTTCACCATAATAAGAGTTCATGGAATAGTTTTGGTGCTGTTTATAGAAAATTACTAACAGTATGAGGGTACCCCAAGTACCATCCATCTAGTTTTTAAACAGGTAAGTGTTAATTCTTTTAAAAACACAGGCAATGTAGGTTAATTCTGTCAAAATAAGGTTTCTGCCTTTTACAGCACCGTATGTCTTACTCTGAAATTTAAATGTCCAGTAGCCACTTTGAAAGCTACCATAAAAGGACTAGCATGTAAAGTAAGTGAAGGGATTGGATGGGAGGTGGAGTTGGAGTTGGGAGACAGATGAGCGAGAAAGTTAGGGTGCCAGATAAGTAGATTAGTGCTTAGGGTAGAGAGTCAGGGGTAGCTGTGGGAGTGGTGTGCATTGGGTATAGCTGAGTCTTAGATGATGGTGGGGTACAGAAGCTGAATGAATGGAAAACATTATTTTGCATTTACCCCGGATCTATCTTCAGACAATGTAGGGTTCCAACAATTCCACAATGTAAACAGTTATCAGGGAGTGTGCTAATTAGTTTAAGATTATTCATCTTTACATTTTTTTCACTTCTAGTAGACTGTATTCAGTAATTTCCAGAGAACTGGGAAGCGTCTCCACGTACAAGTTCATAAAAGTAATACAAGTCATCCTATCTTATAAATTTAGATTTACCTGTCTGCCATGAAGGAGCTCTGAACTGGGGTAGCAGGGAGGCTGTAGCAGGTCCAGCTGGCGGGGTGCGTGATTCAATAGCTGAAAGGAAGTTCATAACTGAGGTTTCAGATGCACTACTGCCAGAATGTTGCATGGTTGCATCAAATAAACTGGACAGCCCTACAAAAGAGAAGAAAATAAGTATTGTAGACAGATTCATCCTAGGCTATGCCAATATCAAAGAATGTAATTGATGATATATAATCAACCACCTTCATCAGATTTTCACATTCACTGTTAATCACCATTATCAACTTACTACTACTAGCTAAAACAGCAAGTAGTCTAGCACCTCAATGCAAAGTTATTAATGGCTACTTGTACCAAAAATATTCGAAACCCTAAACTCTACAGAAATATATCACACAAAGTAATACCATTTCAGGAGGGACTTCAGACTAATAATCTAATGTCTGCTTGCATGCTTCAAATTGTCACAAGAAAAGCTTATTTTGGTAATCACGTGCCAAAAACTTAAGAGATATCACTGCAAAGTCTTCAAATCTCATCTTTTTTGACATATGGACATTCAGTTAAAGTACCAAATTAATATGATATGCACACAAATAGGGCCACCTTGCGTAGTCAGTCACAATAAATACAAGTCTAGAGAAAGTATAGATCATTTGAACTAAAAAAACTAGTTCAGTGAAACATGTGAACCTCAACTAGCAAACACTAATTGCCTTCTCTGGAGAAAAGGAACTTAAACAGTACATTATATTAGATCCCCTTCTCAACAGATATCAACCCAACTACCTTTAAAAAATACAATTCAACTACTTTTTCTTGGCGTTTGTTCCACATATCCCCACTAGTCTGCATTTTCCTTTATTTTCCAATTTAACCTTCATACCAAATCATGGCAAGAACTTATCCAGTTGTCAAAATGCACACATTAACAATTCAAATAAGCCACCCAAGCTATTAGAGCAACCGCATCTTGCAAATACCATCCTGCATCACGATGAGCACACAGACCTCTTCCTGTTTCCCGATATGAGGTGAAGAGATAGAAGCTGCCTTTTAACTCTAAAACAGTTTTCAAAAACAATATGAAATGTTGTTAGGTTCTGAGAAAACATTAAATTAGGAGACGAGGGAATGAAACATCATTCCAAGAATTGCTGAAGTAAGTAAAATTGCACATGATGCTCAATTTTAGAAGATAAAAGATAGGATAGTTCAAAAGAATAGTAATAAAAGTGTAATAGAAGAAGAGCAAACATGACTAAGTGCTAAGTGCAAGATTAATTACAAGTTGAAGTAAAGAAATCAATTGCCTATCCTATCTAGCGAGATTACTGAAGAACACCTCTAATAAGGAAACAGTAACTGAACATTTCACAAAGTTTGAGGGAAAAATCATGACGGCACATGGAGAAATTCAACTTGTAGGAGGCAGCTGTCATGAGGAAGTGAATAGTCAACACAGTACATAAAAGTTAGTTTCTTGCATACTTTCCAAAGCCTTTTTCCCCTCCAAAATGTTTATGCTACCATTATAAAATGAATTTTAAGTTACAATCATTTATGGTTAAAATATCTCTCACAGAAGTTAGAAGTATTTTTTTCACATCAACCCACGAGTTTAAAAGTTCTAGATTTGAACTGGAACACAACTGATTGAACTTCACTACTGATAATACCAGCAAACAGGGTCAGTCATAATAAAAGAAACAATCTGCTTCAGTTAAAAGGAATATAAAGGATAAACAATCCACAGCTGTAGTATTTCATTCCTCACTCATCGGAGGTTCAATACCAAAATAAAGTCCACTAAAAGAGTGCATGCTGCACCCACAGCTCCATATCTTGCATTCTATTTGCATTATCCAATATGTAAGCACCAAAGGTGAGGCGATAGCCTAGTGTTCATCACTGGACTGTTAATCTAGAGACCCAGGTTCAAATCTTGCCATTCCTGGTGGGATTTGAATTCAATAATTGAAAAAAAATCTGGAATTAATAGAATGACGACTACGAATCCATTGCCAGTTGTCACAAAAACCCATTAGTTCACTCAAGTCCTTTAGGGAGGGAAACTGCCATCCAAACCTGGTCTGGCTTACATGTGACTCCAGACGTACAGCAATATGGCTGACTCTAGACAACTGTGTGGGCAACTAGGGATAGTCAATAAATGCAGTCATCCCATGACTGAATGAATAAAAAAGTTCATGCTGTGGAGGTGCTGGCATTGGACTGGGGTGGACAAAGTCAGAAGTCACACAGCACCAGGTTATAGTCCAACAGATTTATTTGAAATCACAAGCTTTTGAAAGCTCCTGGTGTTGTGTGACTTCCGACTGAATAAAAAATTCAACATGAAACTGAAAACTAAACAACACATTTTTGCATGGATTGCAGGGTGCTGGTGAGACCACAGCAGGAGTACTGTGAGCAGTTTTGGTTCCTTTATTTAAGGAATGTTCGCTATGTTGGTCCTTCCCTGTAGAGGAATTCTGATAATGTCAATGAAGCAGAAGTGCTTCCTGTAATCTGAAGTGCTTCACCTTATTTTAAGACGTGTCATTACTTTACTGTCTGACAAGCAAATCTAGAGTCACATGACTGGAAAAGCCCTGCTACCCACATTATTTATTAGTTGATTAAAAATTAGAAGCTGTTGATCCAGGAATTTCAGTGTGAAAAAAGTTTTCCAAAGTTTATAAAACTGTGCTCAAGCGAAAGAATAGACGACTGTAAATTAGGCACATTTTAATTTAAGAAGTTGCTCAAAATTATGACAGAAAGTATTTTGTACCTGTGGGGTGATGTGTAGTGGTGTAGCCAGGCAATTGGTGAGATGCTGCATAAGCTGGTCTATGAAGGAGGTCAGTTTCTGGATGTGCGGCTCCATAGCTCAAACTGAAAAGAAATAAAGATTCAGTAATGGGGACGCAATAATTGTGATTTTTTTTTTGAAAAAGAGTAAGGCAGCAGAAGAAGAGCACACACAAAATTAAAACGATATGAAATATAACTTACTCAAACGGCCATGAGGTTTAATTCAAACTGTGAAAAACATTGGTTATTTTTAAGTTTCAAATGATAAATGAAAATAGTCAAACACAATAAGAGAATCGAACTGATATAAAAATAAAAGCAATAGCGCACAGGAAATAAAAATGAACAGCCACAATCGAGTACGGGCATTGTGTATTCAAATGTAACAGGAATCTCAGTAATGGTCATTTAGCAGTATAGAACTTCAGCACTGCTGAAAAAAAAAGATACATTGTGTCAAAGCTTTCTATCTTGCACTCAGGGTAAAGGGAAAACAACATTAATGCTGTATAAGAGAACAGTACTGATTCATTGGCAAGTGGACTCTGACTAGTCATAGCACCGCCATGGAGCATGCTCCAATTAATGATGACTGACTCAAAAGCTTAAACATCTCTTTCTCTCTTTCAGCAACACTAAATCTCAGTGATATCATTCATTTGAGTTATTGAAAACTCTCACTTGAAACCGCATATTTAAAACCGCAGGCACAGTTCTGATGTACAGCGGTGCTTTTGATAATACCTTGTTATTGAAGCCAAAATCTCCCACTTGCAAAAAAAACTGTGCAGAACCATTTTCTCATTAATTTTTCTTTCAGTCGATTGCAGCCAATGAGCAACCATCACAAAAGAGCTGTACAAAACTGTTATTCCCCATCTTCAAGTTCTTTGAACAGCCAAATTAGATTTCAGAATCCAGACACGTTGAAAGGAGGAAGGGTGAGAATCAATGTTAGTTGTATTCTAATTGAATTCTCTTGGTTTTAAGATTCTCCAATCCAGGCCCCAATACCAATTTTCGAAACATCAGCCTTCCTGCTCCTGTGATGCTGCTTGGCCTGCTGTGTTCATCCAGTTCCACACCTTGGTATCACCAATTTTCTGTGATTGTATTTGAGGGGACCTCTTGTAGTACACTGGCAGGGTCTTGACACCTGGAGGTCCGGGTTCAAGTCTCACCTGCTCCACAGGCATGTGATAACATCCCTGAACAGTTTGATTAGAATAATTTGGCAAGCAGAGCATAAGCATGCTGTTAAAATCATATTGGCGGTGGGCCAAACTGTTCGCACATAAAGCAGGGGAATGATTGGGCAAAGCCAGGGTGGGAGAGGTGTGGCTAATATAATATCTCCTTAAATATGAACATAGACCACTTCAGCCCGAGCTAGGCCATTTGCAAAAAATATGATGTCAATCATCTCAAAATACATCAGCTGACCAGAAAGTAAATGCAGAAGATCCACAAAACCATATTGACACCCATAAGGCCATGACAAAGGTTAGGCCTCCGGTGCCAAATCTAATGTAGACATTCAAATAAATTTGAATAGAATTTAAAAAAAAAAAAAATCGGAGCAAGGTCACTGCATCTTTCACATACTAAAACTCACAAATACAAAAAGAAGTGGACCAAATGGCCCCCTCAGCCTGCTGCTCTACTCAGTGAATTAATAGCTGGTCTGACAGGGGTCTTAACACCACTTTTCATATCGCATAGTCTCTCTCATAAATCAACAATCTGTCTAACTCAATCCTGAATATGTCTAATGACTCATGCAATACTCTCTGCAGTAGAGTTCCTCCTCATCATCTTCTCAACTAGAAAATCACTTTGTTTTGAAACTGTATTGCTCAGTTATAGATCACACAGCATCTGTTGCGTCAAGCTGCTTCAGAATCTTAGATGTTTCAGTGACAGCATTTCTCATTCTAAATTCTAAAAACTATAGGTGGCTGCCATGATGTGGAGATGGCGGTGTTGGACTGTGGTGGACAAAGTCATAAGTCACACGACAGCAGGTTATAGTCCACCAGGTTTATTTGAAGAAATGGTTCACCTGACGAAGGAGCAGCACTCCGAAAGCTTGTGATTTCAAAGAAACCTGTTGGACTATAACCTGTTGTCATGTGACTTCTGAATAAGCATAGGCCCAACCTGCTCAACTTTTCCTCACAAAATAATACCTGTCATCGCCAGAATCACTCCACGGAACATTCTCTGAAATGGCTCCAATGCAAGCATGTAACCTTAAGTAGGATCAAAACTGTACGTAGTACTCTAGGTATGTACTCACCAACATCCTTTACAGTTTAGCATGACTTTTCTAATTTTATACTCTATAGCCACCTTGCAATAAAGGATTCTATGATGTACCTGGTTACATGTTAGCTTTTGTGGTTCATGTGCAAGGATATTCAAATCTTTGTACTACAGCATTCTGCAGCTTCTCTTCATTTAAACAAAGTTCCATTCTTCTTTCTATCAAACTGGACAACCTCATTTTTCCACATTATACTCCAACTGCCAAATTTTGTCCACTCACTTCATTTAAATAAATCCCACTGCACACTCTGTGTATTCACCTCGCAACTTATTTTTCCACCTGTCTTTGTGTCAGCAGCATATCTGGCTATGTTACATGTGGTTACTTCATCAAAATCTTGTCATAAAACCTTTGTTTAAAATTAACCTATTTTTCCTAAATCAACCTTTTCAGAGATGTTATTACACACCTCTGGAGCAGGTGGGACTTAAACCCTGGCATCCCTGGTCCACTGCACGACAAGAGGGCCCTGAATAATATAACCTTTTGTTTTTGTGCATCTCTTTATCAACACTGAATGCACACTAATACTTGAGTATTTACAAATTAATCATGTTTTATCCAAACCGTGCATATTCTAAATATACAATAAAATGCAGTCAGTACTAAAATAAAGTTTCTTTTAAAGTCTCTCCAATTACTTCAGAAGACTTCCATGCACCCTTTGACACACAAACTTGATGCAAAAAGCAAGTACAAGTCTTGTGATAATAAGCTACTTATCACTTACAAACAAAACATATCGTTGTTTATTATACCATATTATTTGTTTTATATTACATTTTCAATATTTAAAAATGCCTTTTGGGATTGAAACTGGAATGTTCTTTATAATCTCTGGGATGTAATTTTATTTAGTATTCAATTCATGTTAATAAGGTGTAAACGGAAGATTTAAAATTTAAAATCAAAGTATGTAACTACATCATATTATCTTCTTTGTTTTCCCTTGTTGCATCTGCATCATTTTTAGCAGTCTTTTGGATGCGTTACAGATATTTTGAGATTTTATGATATTTTGCAAAACGAACAGCTCCCAGAAATGGACTGTTTCTCACAGTGTTATTTAACAGAAAAAAACGATTCCAGTATCTGATCCAAACAAGTCATTTATCAATTTGTTTAGTTAGTTAAGTTAATTGATTTCTATTGGGAAGGAAATACATTATTCAATACATATCATAGTGAGCGTTGCTGTCACTTACACAGTAGTTTTGAAATTGAAGGTATATTTGTTACAAAATGAGAAAATTTCTGCAGCACTGATTATCTGGTCAAACAATGAAAACAATACAACCCCATTAGGTTATGCAACTATTGGCTATTGGGCCTTATTCTTATGTATGATAAACTTTTGGTTTCACAGACCAGCTGAATCTTGAAAACTCCATTTCATGCACATTTTGGGAAGTTGCACAGGCTATTTTCTCCAATTGTGGTTAAAACCCATCTAAGTTTACTGCTGTCCTTTGGGAAGAATTCCTCTTTCATCAGTCTGGCTTTCCTAAGTCCACAAGACTTGTGCTTATAGGAGCACAAGTAGGTCATTTAGCCCATCAAGAATACTCAAGGAAATTGTGGCTGACCTGATAATCCTCAAATCCACTTTCCTGTCTTTTCCCCACAACCCTCAATTACCTTACTGATTAAAAATCTGTCTTCAAATGCACTTAACAACCCAGTCTCAGAAGCCCTCCATAGTAAAGAATTCCACAGATTCAAAACCTTCAGAGGAGAAATTCCTTCTCAGCTCGGTATTAAATCAGCAACCTGAGGATGCTTAACTCTGAAGTTCGAATGACTAAAACTCCTGTGCTAATGTGATCTAAAGAGGTAGCAGAGGTTAGTGCCACTAGTGGGCTGCTATTGTTTCGTTTAGTGATACATATCTATCTTTTTTTAACAACCTGTTGGGATTGAAACTAGAATATTCTTGCTGATCTTGAAAACTCAAGCTTCGGGATATAATTCTATTTTAGTATAGTTTTCAAATTGTTTTAACAAGGTAAGCATTGAATACTTAAAACTCTACAATTAACAACTTTGAAACTGACACTAACTTAATTGATTTTTTCAACAATTTAAGCAGCTGTCGGTTTTAAATCTGATTATTACGTCGGTTGGGAACTGTACATCAGTACTGAAAAAACACAGTGGCAACACATCAATCTGCTCCTGGGAGTCCCCAAATCACCTTGGGAAATTCATTCCCCCACTTCCCCGAGCAGCGGTGGGGGTATGGGTGGGTTTACACTGATTACAGAAAACTTACCCTCTAAATCAAATGGGAGGAAATGGTCAAGAGCTTTTCCTCCATTCACAATTTGTTTCTCTCTTACATTTGTTGTTGGTAGGCCAAGTAATAAACCCAGCCAAAAAACGTAGCAGAGTAGCGATTGGAGAATGGATGAGTGGCAAACAGAGTATCCAAAATGATAGCAATGAGAGAGACACCAAAGGAGTATTATGCCAAGGCAAGATGACCAAGTCAGGAAGGTCTGTTGGCCAAGTCTATGGTTGGGGCATCTTTCGGGGATAGGCTCATGTGAAGTAGGGGAGGTAGAGGGACAGCTGCAAGAGGGTCATAGGAGGAGAAGGGAGCTTTCAGAGGGTCTTGAGGGAAGAAGGTGGTTGTAGGGGTGGTAAGCAAAGGCAAGAAAAGAGGTTTAAACCCATCAAAGGAATAATCCGCTGAATCTGAAAACTTTAAATCACCAAAGTAATTAATTCTTTGAACTGCAGGCAATGGAAT